GTTTGAAAACTAGCAAAAGTACAACAAATCCATCAGAACTCATTAACACGAACGAGCTTTTTAGAATTCTACAGAAAGATGTTAGGAAGGGCTTCTCTCTTTTTTTTTTAAAAAAAAAGCTTAGAAACCAAAACCGAAGACGCTGTGACATTTTCTGTGCTGGAATGTTCTTGTCCAGGCTATTTCATTCAAAGCAACGACGCAGGTCACAATTAAGACCAGAAGAGTGCAGACTCAGGTCAAGTAAGGGTTAATCCTGTACTTGGTCCTTGTCTTGGAAACAAATATTGTCTCAATTATTCACTCAACACCAAGCATTACAGCTGAAAAACAAAGTATTTTTTCCCCACCACCCCTCCTATATCCTAAAAACCTTCCGTAACAAGACAACGGTGAAACTCACGAGGCCTCCACTCCGGCCTGTTTTCCTGCTGCAGGCTGGCTTCTCTGGCAATTATTTACCAGCAGTCGAACAGCAAAGAGCAGGACCCTGAGGAACCGCGGAGGAATTTCCAGCAGCACCGCAAGAGTGGCTGGGGACGCCTTCAGCCCGCCCGGAGCAGGAAGAGTCGGGCCGAGACGCGGGAGGGCCCGGAAGCTGCGCTTACCGTGGGCCGCTCATGGCTCTCCTCGCCGCCTCGCGGACCGGGCCTGGACCAGGGAGCAGCGGCACGCTCGCTCGCTCGCTGCTCTTCTCAGGAGCCAGGGCAGGGCAGTGCCAAGGCCCTTCTCCAGCTCTGCCCCCCGCCTGGCGCCTTCACAGCGCAATGACCTCTCCCTGGCCTGGAACAACGGCAGCTCCTCGCAGGAGACGGACCGACGCACTAGGACCCTCCGGGCTTCCCTGCCACGGCACACTTCCACATTGTCATCTAGGCAGCCGTCGGCCTCATTCAGCAGACCTAATCATCAGAGCACCGCCTCAAAAACACCCACGCTAATAAATAAAAGCAACCTTTATCTAGAGCAGCACCGTCTTTAGAATGTGAGAACTACAACACAAAATTCAACAGCCCCCTAAGATGTCTCAACCCGTGAGATGACGGGCCTGGCTCAGGAAGTATTTTGACCCCAGCATTTGTTTGACAGCGTGTAACCCTGCATTCTCGCACAACAGGACTTTGGACGGCTCCACTGGGCCTGCGCAAGAGGATAATGAGCAGAGGGGAACTTCAGCTGCCTTAAGGGCGCCACAGTTCCTAGAGTGCCAAAAGAAAGCGAGAGTGGCTCAAACGTGGCGTTTTCTGTCTCTAGCGATCACAGAGAAGCACGGCCTATATTTCGGCACAAAGAAAGCTGGGTTTCCCCCTGAAGGCACGTTGCCATCTTAGTCTTGCCCTGGCAGGAGGGAACACCCTCGCAAGTCCAGAAGCACCCCGACATCCTACAGCCTTGCAGATCCAGGAGCACCCCGAAATCCAGGTCCTCCTCCAGGAATACAGAGGTGTTCCAAAGCAATGTGCGCAGCAAATCTACACCAACCGGGAAAATCAATATTCAGCTTCAGACATCTGCAGGAAAAAAATATACTGTACTCATCCAATTCCAAATTCAACGTCAGTCCTACTACAGATGTTATTGTTGAGTGGGATTTCATTTTAGACGAAGACATGCATTCCTTTGAGATTACTTGAACACATACAGGCGCTGCTCCTTTTGGTAATTATCTCTCCAGACACACTGAAAGTAATCAATTTCTCAGGGCGAAGCCAGTCCCTTTAATTCTGTAATGATAGTTTTGCTGAATAGACCACACTTAGGAAAGGCACAAACTTGCATCACCGTGAGTCATACTTAAACAGAAGCAAAGAATCCTTAGAGGCAAACCTTTAGGACAGAGTGCAAACTCTGCACACGGAGCACACCCGCTGCACAACAGCAGAGGCTAAAACTCTCAGACTGACAGCTGTTACACCTAGAAAGTGAACAGGAGGGTGAACAAGTAAAACAGCAATGAGAGCTCTTCTGGGGGTGACTGTAGGAATGGATTCAAGATGCACAAACTCCCCTTCACAATACAGGAAATGGCTTCTTCCATAAAGACACTGAGGGAGTCCAGCTAGCACTGAGAAGTTAGAACCAGTCACTCCAGATAAACCTGTGCAATATCCAACTGTCAGGCGAGCATCACTAACTCACAATGAAGGGAAGAGGCACAGATGATTGGAAAGCTAGAAAGGGACCATGCAACACTCACTTTCAAAAGTGTCTGACACAGGTGCTGCACTGACTTGTCTACTGATCTAAAGGCTTCAGCGCTGAAACCTTTCAAAATGCGAGAGGCAAGTGTTCGTTTTACACAACCAAACCTCTGATCCGCTTTTGCAAATGTTTCCAAAGTGCTTGGAAAATACAACCCAAAGGCCATGTTGTACAAAATCTGTTCTTCTTCCACATTGTGAACAGCTGAAGTACAACAAAGAGCTGCGCCAGTTATCACACTAAAGCAGAAAACGCTGAATGACAGAACCCCAGCGGCCTACGCATTCTGGTGATTTACAGCCAGGAGGAGGAAGATTTTTTAAGCGCTTCCCCATATAAATGGAGAACAAATTTCTATAATTGCAGAAACTTCTGGGCCAGTATTCCACCCACGACTGCACTACAGCAGAGCCATCATGTTCTATAAACGTCAGGGGAAAGAAACTGACTCCAGTGTTATCCGGTGTTGAAGACACCGGATAACACTTTAAACTAGGCTTCGCTTTCTCCTGTACCTTCAGACACAAGCTCTTTCACACCAGGCTTCCTGCTCCCACGTCACACGGACTCGTCGGTCACCTGCTGGTCATTTCATGGTACAACAAATAAAGCTCTCGATTATAGACTAATTGGACTAATTACAGACCCAATTACAGAATATACATCTAAAACGGAGCTTGCATCACATAATTGGACACTTGTCCCCCGAGAGGCTTTCAGTGTTGTGAAACAATGCTCTGTGCTGCAGCTCCTTGAACGTGCGAGACACGGCAGAGGAGCAGAGACTCTTACTGTTGTGTTTCCTTAAACCCACAGAGATCTTAAGAGCACAGCAGGCCAACTAAAGCAGGGTTTCCCAAGGCCCACACACACACACACACACACACACACACACCTGCCCGGCTTTCTTCCAGCTGATCCCTCTGTTGTCTTAATAACAGGAGTCATTTGAACCATTTGATTTGCTTCAGCTTTTCCACTTGCAGAAAGGCAACCTCTGACTCCATTCATTTCATTAGCAGCAGAAAATTCCATCTTTTTCAGTGTGTGTGGTGGTGGTGGTGGGGGAATCAGTTGCTCCAATGCAGCAACTTAATGGTTTTATTAAGGCTTCAATTAAGTAATTAAACCAGGCAGGACTGAAAAACTGAACTGGGAGCCCCCCAAGATATCACTCCCATGGGGTACAGTCGCCGAATGATGCTGAGCACCTGATCCTCTTGCAGTCGAGGCTGGTAAACCAGTCGACTCATCCGGACATGTAACATGCGGAAAACCACAGTACCACCCGGCCGACGCGGACCGATACAGGAATAAAACCGAGGCAGAGGACAGAGAAGTGGCCTCTCCACTCTTTTACTCATCCGTACACTTTAAAATAAGTCCTGCTCACACCCGGAGTTACACAAAGCACAGAACTTCACGATCAGGGAAGTGTGAAATAAGAAAAATCTAAATACGATACACGAGGGGGGAGCCAGCAGATGACTGACCTTTCCTAAACCTCAAGACATCTGCTGAGGGAGACCCCATCTGTCTTCCCCGGTGACCGTGTGGGTCAGGGCAGTGGGGGCAGGCCAGGAGCAGGCTGGACACCGCCCCCCAGCTCTCCGGAGCTGCCACAGATGACCAGGTGGGTGAAACAGCTGGACCCACTGTTTCCTGCGTACATGCGGACATGTACAAACTATTATACATTTTTTATTCTTGCACGAAATACTGCTATTTACACTTTTCAGTTAAGAAAACTGCTATCGCTGTACTTGACAGTTTTCACTTGAGTTTTCAGAAGCCATTATTTGTCTCCGTTTCTCCATTTGCTCAGGTGATTTCTTCACTGGGCAGCCCCAGTGAGCACTCCGAAAACAACGAGCTTCCAAACCTTTCCCAACGCAAGCCGAGTCCCCAGATCCCAGAGCCTGGACTTTCCCACCCTGCCTTTCCCACATCCTCCACCACAGCGCCACACTGAGCACAGCCAGGAGTGCTCTCCCTCCATCCTCTGTGTCCATCAGCTAGCCCCCCCGTCCCCCCCCGCTGAGCAGCACCAGGCCCGGCCTGGTCACAGAGCAGTCACGCTGCCCAACTGCAGCTCCGATCCAGCCTGCAAATCCATGCCAGACCGCACAGCTCTCTCATGCCTGGGAACAGCTGCTCCTGGACTGTCCATCCCACTGGAAGCTAATTAGCGCAGTCAGAAAAGAGAGAGTTGGGGCCACTGATCTCCAGAGGGAAACTACACAAGCAGGGCTAAAGCCTACTGTACGTAAGAGCAGGGATAATTAAATGCATTTGTCTTTGAAGCGGTAATAAAAAAAAGGCAACAATACACAAGGCGCCGGAGCCGAAACGAGGCTCTGCAGCGGGTTTCTGGCGCGACGCCCCCCTACCTGTTCTGCTCCTCGAGCTTGGCGAGCAGCTCCAGCTCGTCGGGGCTCAGCTGCGCGGGCGAGGAGGGCGACAGCGCGGGCGTGGACAGCGTGGTGGAGGAGGAGGTGGTGTGCAGCGAGGAGGCCGACGGGCTGACCACCTGACTAGCCATTTGACCGACGCCGTGGGACACCGCGCTCTTCACCCATGAGAGAGTAGAACTCAGCTTTCCTGCAACCTTTTCTGTCGCCACCTACCGGGAGAAAAGAGCAGAGCAGAGCCAGGTCAGGAGCGCAGGGGCAGGGCTGGGGCTGCTCGCTGGCAGCGCAGAGCCAAAACCGAGGCGCCGATGAGCAGCCCCACCACGTGAAACCAGATCTGGGAAAGGCACGAGCACCACCAGGAAGAACAGCATTGTACTGCACCGTGCCCTGTCATCATGGCTGCGTCAGCACACTTAAAACAACATTCAGTTTTATCATGTCGCCTCGTGCTAAAATGATAACCTCTTCCTTCCTAAAGCATACATCAGGTGTTGATAACGCACTTCGATCTATCTGTATGAGACTACAATGCCGACAATTTCTTATTATCCAGCCCATATTCTGCCTGTGGTCATAGCAGTGAGGCGTCTGCTCAATGAATGAATCTGAATTCAGTACAAGAAAGATCAGAACCTCAGCTCCTTACACATCCTGGATTATAGTTCATCTCCGAGCTCTTGGGTTTGATTCTGGACAGAGCTGCTGTCCGTGTGGAGTTTGCATGTTCTCCTCTGGGAGGGCGTTGGCAAGCTGTTTCTCATTTCTTCCCACTTTCCAAATGCATGCCGGCTGGGCTAACTGGTGTCTAATTATCTGCATGTCCCTTTCTTTCTTTCTTTTCTTTGATAAGCCGAGCGCAGACCTGTTCAAGGCGCCGAACCAAACGCACAAACAGGCCGTAACGTGTCTGAAGACAGTCAGCAGCCATGAGGCTGAAAGGCTGGAGGAAGGCAGGCAGGCGCAGGGAAGCACTGCAGCTAGACCCCGGGGTCTGCCTATTCCCCAGGAAGGTTTCCGCCCCGGCCCTGTCCTCGCAGTGCGCGCCTCATCTGGCGTCCAAGACGCTGCTGAAGCCTCCATCCGGCCCCTCGAAACTGCGCCGAGGAGCTGGGGGCGCCAGGCACAGCCGCCAGGAGGAAGGAGGAGTGCCCGGCTGAAACCTGCCACAGGTCCACACGCTCTGCCCCAGCAGGAGGCTAGAGGTCACGCCCGGCGGAAGGCCCCCAGGCGCCAGCGGGCCGCGCGGGGCTCACGGAGAAGGGGCTCATGGGGGCAGGAAGTCGCGAAGGCCCTCAGACGGACCCGGCGTTTCAACGCAGGCGGTTAAAAACCAGGCCGGCTGTGCTTAAGAACTGCTTTATTTTTCCCACAGATCCCGAAAAAAATCGCGACTTGCTCGCGTTTAAAGAACGTTTGCACAGGGTACAGATGTGCAGTGACGTTCGATAAAAGCCCCGAGGAGGCAGCAGGAGGTACAGGAGGGCAGCCAGCAGGTTGGTTTGTGGTTGACCCCGTCGCTGCATTTCAGCAACTTGCCCAATCGACTGCGGAGGACGTTTTCCAATTCAAATTCTACTCAGCCATCATGTTTTAAATGCGGGTATAGAAGACACAGCATGAACTGGCAGATCTCGCTTCCTGTAATGTGTAGAAAACATTTGCACAGCAAAAAATGGGGAAACTACAGGCGGTGGGGGGGGTACATCCTGATACTATAGTATGCAAAAATCTGCTGCTGTTGCAATTTGTACAGACAACACAAGCCTAGTGGTGACTGTGGTTACTCACTGTAAACCCTCGCTCAGGTGCTCTAACGTACTGCACCTACAGCAGACCGACCGCACACAAGAAACACACGAGAGACACTCCACACAGCCCCCCTCTGCCCCCCGCCCACGCCTTCTCACAAACCTGTTAAAGCTTAATCACTGTTGCACTACGGCTCTGCTTCAACAGCTTCAGCAGAGCTGGCAGAGGCCCTGGGAAGGTACATTTTCAATCAAGACGCTGTGAATTCTTAAAGGCAGGCGAAAGATCTCAGCTGTTTAGTTCCACAGTGGAAAAGAAAATCTGAGATATTTTGCTTTTATTTTAAATGTGGTCATTTTCACTGTTGCCAAGACACCTAAAACATTCATGTTTTCCAAAACAATCAGGGTTGGTTACAGTGTTGGGAACAGATGTTGGCCGTCAGCAGAAGTAAAAGTGGCACTCATCAATCTTCGCCTGTTCCACACTTTCCCACACTAAAACCAAGCCCGTCGCCTGTGCTGGGGTCTGATGCCTTGCTGTCATGCCCTCCTGATTGTGAAATGCCGCAGAAATGGTGGCAAAGAGAGGTCACAGCCTCTGTGGGCCTGGCCATCATCGGAACGAGCCGGCTCAGCTCTCTGTCCAGATGTGCTCCAGGTGGCTGCGAGCTAGTACAGCACAGGACAGCAGGGTAGGCCAGCCTAGCAGTGCTGCCAGTCCAACGACGAGACTGAAGTGTGACAGTTTTAGCAAGGAATGGCACGACCTTATGGATCAGTTGGAAATAAGCCGTTTAACAAAATTCTTCTTTAAAAGGAGAAGTCCCATAATGCAGGGAAGATCAAGGTCTTAGTTTACAAACAGTAATACGGTAGAATTCTAACAAGATTAAGATGCTTCTCGTTAGGTTTGTCGGATAACCCTTAGGCTCCTTTAGTTTGACTCCTGAAGCTTACACAACAGTCCAGACCCACTGTAAGAACCTTCAAACTAGATTACGTTCTACAAGACCTGCAGATAATTTATTAGCATCTCTACCGTGGCCATCAGTAATTTATCATGTATCACTACAAACAACGCACGTTTCAGGTGATCTAATTTTGGATTTCAAGTTATAGAAGGCAGCTCTCAGGATGCAGGCATGCTATCAGTTATTATCTACAGTGGTTAGGCAGCTAGCACTGCTAGCTAAAAGGTATTCGGCCCTTGGTTCGATTCAAGACTTGAGTGCTTTCTGTGTGGAGTTGGCATCTTCTCCCTGCATCTGAGTGGAGATTGTGTCTGCATGTCCTCCCACTTGGACATGATTCTGCTGTCCACATTAACTGGGGTCTCTAAATTGTCCTTAGGCGAGTGCCCTGTGATGGGGGTGGTCCCACATCGCTCCCAAGGATTATGGGATAGGATTCGGATTGCTGCAGCCCTCACCAGGAATACCAAGGAATTACCAGGAATCCCCACAAGGAATACCGACAATGGATGGATGGAGAGTTGTATGGCGAGTTGCATGGGATCAAAAACTAATTGGAGTTTCTTAATGTGACAAGTCTTCACAGAACACAAGCTCACAATAGTTACAATTGTTAATACGTACAAAATACCGATGCCTCTCAAGAGTCCAAAAAATGTGCTAAAATCATTACTTACCAGTAAGCCAGACGCATGTCACAGACAACCTTGCTCAATAAAGATCCAAGACGAGCTGAAAACAAGAGCCTCTTTTTAAAAACGTGTCGAAAGCTTGCCCATCGTGAACTAGCAGTCCTGGCGAAGGATCTTCCTCAAGGGAACAACAGCCGGGTCTGACCCAGGATTTGAACCCACAACCTCCCAGTGACGAGTTCAGACCCCCGACTGCAGCTCCTCACTGTTGCCAGAAAGCCTTTGCAAAGCCCCTCCGTTCTCAAACCACAGAAGAACACTCCCGTTAGTCATATGCCATTCCGGGCGTCATTTAGGGTCAAAGTGCCCGGCTAACAATAGCTATCTTAAAGGCCGATGACAAAGTCTGCAATTCTGGCACGTGTGCTGTGTGTTCACTCCCAAAAAAACACCTCCCCCTCAGCAACAATCTTAGACATCTCTCTGCTCTCCCCTGGCCTTCAAGTGGAATTTACCTTCAGATAAGTCGACTGCAAGAAACTCCATCTGGTCTCTGACAGCACAAAAAAAAACACCTAACACTTCAAAACTGAAATCAGTATGACTACTACATAACCACAGGAATCACAATATTTGTCATCAGAGGGGAGCACCAGCAGGCCTTCAGCTTAACTTTCTGTGTGCGTTGAATAAAGAAATCCAAGATTGCATTTCACAGCCTTTGGTTTTGCGATTTTATTGTCAGAAAAGCAGCTGCAGTACAAATAGATTCACCCAGTTTGGCGCTATTTTTAGGAAGTCGAAACCACACGGATCGCAGTCCAAGCGCAGAGTCTCGGATAGTGCTGACTACGGAAAAGCTTCAAGTCTCTGTTCCTGCGAAACCTCTCTTTCTTTCTGCCTGGCCAGCCCAACCCCCCAGATGAATCTTCAGCGTGTCCCAGCCGCTCAACACGAGCCCTGCGCTGTGCTGCGCTGCTCAGTCTGCAGCAGAAACGGCTCTTTGGTTTCCGGATGCCTGGGAAACACAGCTGACCGGCGGTGCTCCCCGGCTCCTCCTTCTCCTCCTCCTCCTCCTCCACAGCCGCAGCCGCGGGCGGACAGAGGCGGCTGGTCTGGCTCTGCGTTGAGCCCCTCCGAGCTGCCCCGCTCCTCCGGCCTGACCAGGAAGCCTTCGCTAGCTCGGCAGGCAGCGAATTCAAAGCAACAGAGGGAAGGTTGGCAGGCTACTTCTTCCTGGGCGGCTGTGCGCCCTGAGGCCAGCGGCGATGTGGCCGCGCGGCACGAGCTCGGGGCCTCGGTGTGCCCACACAGCAGAAACAAAATACTGGCGCGGGTCTACGTACGCGTAGGGCTAAACTGGGAATACTTTAAAAGCCAGGAGAATTACAGAGCAAACAGAGGAATCATTCATCCTAACTCTCTCTCTCTCCTGGCACGTGCCCACAGTGCCCGCCTGCCCGTCTCACTGGGCACAGGCAGGCCTCCCTGCACCAGAGAGGAGGGGGCTGCGCGCGGAAGAGCAGCTGCAGCCACAGAGCCAGCCCAGGGTCCGCCACAGGGCAGCGCGCTGCAGCCTGCAGAGCAGGAGGGTAGGCAAGGACCACGTTCAAGCCAAGAAGAAAATTAAAAGCCGCCAAGCCTGCTGTTTAACTGCCTTTCTGTCTTTATACAAAAATCTTTCCGACAGACTCCTTTTAAAGTCTGGAAAAACAGAATTAATAGAGGGAAAATATGTTCAAAGCTTTAAATATAGCTATTATTATTATATTAAAAACAAATCTGAAGTCTAATAAACTTTACAGAGCAAGTCCTGGGAATGAAAGCCTTTACACAGCCTGTGTGGAACCCCGCC